TCTTGTCAGTATGCATCAGACCATGGAATGCTCGAGGGGCATACAGAGGCGTTCTGAAGTCAAACACGGAAGCCAAGAGGCACCGTGCATCGTGAACGTCATTGAAGGCGAAATGATCAAAGACTCCGATGTGAGTATGGTTGGCCGATGGATGCTCTCTTCTCAGACTGCATTCGACCATGGACGTCATCATGGTTGGTCCATGGATGCTCTTTTCTCAGAACGCATTTGACCATGGACGTTATCACTGTTGGGCCATGGATGTTCTGGGATCAGAACGCATTTGACCATGGACGTCATCATGGCTGGCTGACCTCAGTACGCGCAAGAAATCAGACCATGGACGTTGTCATGGTTGGGCCATGGATGCTCTCTTCTCATTACCCCAGCATTGCTTCAAAGCTCCCACGCCAGTTTCCAAGCGCCAGTTTCTGCTGATACGCGCCTCAAGTTTCTGCTATGCGCTGGTTTCTCTGTGCGTATCTATGTGTGTCCGTGTCTGGGCGAGCGTGAATCGGAAAGGACTAAAGCGAAAATTCCAAAAAGACTAGAGATACATGACATAATGTGTCACAAGTATACATATGCAATCATATGCATACATATATATATATATATACACATTTGTCACGTATTGTGACACAGGTAAGTGTTCCCTTCAAGGGTTCAACAGTAATGAGATACACATAACGGTGTCATCGTCAGTTTGGCTAGACGCCATCTGGGATTGAGATATAATCATTGACCAGTGTGCTGAATGTGGCCATTGCCAACATCCAGCGAGTCGAAGCTGACGGAGCTAAGTTGCTCTCATTCGCTTACTCTTCGCATTCCTCCGGCATAGCCCCGCGCATGGAGGACGTCTCCCCATCGCCGGCCACCCCGTCGTCCATGAGTTGGACCATCTGCTCCAAGTTCGCCTCGGAGTAAAGAGTCGGCGCCGAGGCATTGAAGCCGAGCTTGGCCTCCAACTCCTGGCGAAGGCCCTTGAGTTTTTGCCATGGCGTCCTTCAGCTCGTTCAACTGCTCCAAGCGCCGGGCCCCGAGATCCAATCCATTGCAGAACCTCGTTGCTTTCGGCATGGCCATGAAGCCCACGACACCGAGGCCCAGCGCCAGAGCCTTGACCCAACCACGGGACTGCGTGGAAGAGTCCTTCACCTCTTCCTCAGACTCCACATGGACGGCCTCGAAAGCAGCAGCTTGCGCAGGAGGCGTGGGCATGATGGCAGCAGTATCCAAGCTGGTGCACCGGGACGGAATGCAGCTGTGCAGCTTGCGACGGTGCTGAAGCAGATGCTTGAGCCAAAATGGCTACGGTTTGAGGGTTTACACTCTCACAACTCGGACAAGCCAGGCGAGGATCCATAGGTGCATAAGTCGGCGTGACACTTTAAGCTGCCCATGCATGCCACTATCCAAAACCCGCAGATACACCAAGTAACTTGTGGGTTTAGGGTTTATGGTTGAGGGTTTACTTCCCCTTGTTGTGGCGGTTCAGAGTTCTATAAGGTTTGGTTCGTAAGCGGTATAGGTCTAGATGTCATGGTCCAACCACTTGCAAAGCACCCGGTGCACCCTTCTGCTTCGCAAAAATTCTGGCAGCGATTCCTCCCAGATTGACTGACAATCCTTGCATAACTATAAATCAATATGAACCCATGAAGAACCATGTTCTCTAGGCGCATATACACACACACAATATATATATATATATATATATACATATATATATATATATTTGTATTTATGTATTTTTTGTTGACATATTTTCTTTATCTATATTTATACGCATACATGTATGTACGCATATACGTTTTCGGTTAAAAGTAAGAAACCACACCACACACCGTTTCTGAGGCCAAGCCACGTAGTATTGAGATGGGTCGAACCTCGCTGGGCTTGTCCTTTGAGAGGTCGGCTCCGGAGCCTGCTTACCCATAGGCCCTAGGGTAGTTCGTTTTGGGGGTTCATATATAGAATTCTACAAGGTAATCCCAAAAAGGAACTACTATGGGGCCTATGGGTAGGGTGTCGACTCTCAGGACTCGCACAAGGCAGGCAACCCAGAGAACCCAATAATATTAAGGCCCCTATAATTTAAGGTATATTCCTTATTTAAGGGGTACTGGGCTCTCTAGGAAGGCTCCACGGTCTCGGGTTTAGGGGTTCGGCGGCTCGGGGTTTGCGGTTTGACATGCGCATGGCAATAGGGCAACATTGGATGTTCGAAAGCAGTTTGCATGATTGTGCTAGGAAGCAAAGCACCCTCTCGGTTTTCGGCCCAACCGTCTCCGGTGCAACATAGGTGGCAAAGCCACGCAAAGCAATTCAAGAAATATGACCGTTTGCTGTTCGACCTCGGGTCTACCGCATTCTGGCGTAGCGATACTCTATGTATATCCCAGATGTGCGCAAACCACAACAACAACTAAACCCAACCCCGAAGGATCCATCCCAAACCGGCCTGCGATGAAGCAGCGGCGCTCCGTGCAACATG